CAGTGGTAAAAGGAGACGGAGAAAGAGCGATGAGATAGAGAGTGCTGCGGCAGGAGCGACTGTGAACATAAATACCTACACCGACAGCGGCATGTGTTTTTGATTCGAATAGCTGAAGGATTGAGAACGTAATGTTAAGGCTACTGGCGAGTTGGAAACTACTATCGAATTTCGAAGAAATTAAAAGTACACTATGGAAGGATTAATGTATTTGGCAAGGCCTCCATTTGACTGAATTAAAATTCTCGTTATACATTTCAAATATTTTCCAGTTGGTTCCGAATAGCCATTTCGAAATTCTAAAACCGTTAAACTGAACAAACGTGTTGCTAGCTATACCTAAGCAAAACGCCATACGCAACATTCGTTAGTAGCGGCGGTAGTCGTTTTTCGTATGTTATCTAGCAGTTCTCAACTAGTTAGTACTTGAAATATCGCTCGTAGCAAGCCGAAGCAGTATATTGCGTCGTCGGCGTCGCTGTCAGCGCCGCCACAGCTGACGACGAGCGCACAATTCGAAGCTTGACTGGCTGATTGCTGCCTGGCTGGCTAACTGTTGGCCGTTTTATGTTGAAACCCTGTGTGTGTGTGTTTTGACTTGGCTGTGACGATTTTGCAATTTTGGCCAATGCATTGCGTTTCAGTAAGAAAAGCGTCGCCTAACGGTTTAGTACGTACGCTTTGCGTTTTTAGTTGGGGTATTTTTGCGGTTTGTTCGTGCGTTCGTAGTTATCACTTTGGTATCAAAGAAAATAATAATAACGAAAGTAGTTATTAAAAAACGTATGGAAACAACTGCAAACAAAAAATATATAATTTGGTAGAAACAAATGATAAAGAAAGAGCGCGAAAATGTTCACTTGTTTGAAGTTAGTTGGCAATTATAATTTTTTTTTTTTGNACAAATAAAAAATATATAATTTGGTAGAAACAAATGATAAAGAAAGAGCGCGAAAATGTTCACTTGTTTGAAGTTAGTTGGCAATTATGATTTTTTTTTTTTGTTTCACTATTGTTTGACTAACGCTTTTTCTAGAATTTTATTACGCTCGTTTGCATTCTAATGATCATTGAAACAATGAACTGAAGATTATACTCAGTTGAAGAAAAATGCGTTAGTTGAAAGTTGTGCAAAGAGGCGAATATATGCTAAATAATAGAGACTTTACTTTAGAGATAAATCACTTGTTAAAACTTATTTATTTTATATTTGCAGCAATTATTTTTTTATTTAATTAATTTTGGTACCAGTGGATTTGGCTCCAACTCCAGTTTAATTCAAAGTTTGGTATAGATTACAGAAACTGCATTTTAAAGTTTTCAAATAGATCACAAATATATTTTTTTTAATATTCTTTTTCTATAACAAATGAAGACGAAATTAATTTATAATAAAAAATTTGCTAATTGCTAACATTTTAAACACAATATGTCATAAGCTATACACAAATGAGAAAAGAATAAAATAAATACAAATAGTACTACAATAATTTATTAGAGGTAGCTTCAAAATTCATGAAATGGTATCAAAGCCATTTTGTAATTTAAAAATGCTTTCTATCACTGGAAAATATAAAATGTTTAAATTTTAATATAAACACTCCTAACATAAAAATTAAAAATACTAAATTAATTTCCCGAGATAAAAGTTTCAATTTTTGTTTTAAAAACTCTTATAGACCAAAAACGTACAAAGGTATTTTTTTATATATTTTCCTTTTCAATATAAATATTTATGCAATACGATTTATTTTGGAACGAATTTCCGTCATCCCTTGTCAAGTTTGGTATGCAGATGCAATAGTTCATGAAATTAAGAAAAAATAATAACTTTTATTGTTTGAAAAAAAAAATTACTCTTTGAGTTGAATTTTTTCCAAACACATTAATATAATCGATTTTGTCAATTAAAAATCAAAGAAAACTAATGTAAAGAATAAATATTTTTTCTGAAGGAAATTATTATATTTTTGTTTTGTATTTTTTCTTTTATTATGTCAAAATTGGAAAAATTCTAATTTAAATTGAAAAAAATTTTACACACGTGCCAGTAATAATGTCTTAATGTCAAATTGTGTTTGCGAAATAAATTTTTTTTAATGAAATAAGAACAGAAGTATTAACAATTTTCATACCTGCCTTAGGTATAGAAATTCTCAAATTCTTAAAATTGTCTGCTAGAAAATAATCCTATTTTTTTTTAAGTTATTAATTTTAAAAATTAAACAAAAGAAATTGCACTATCTTTATTTTGATTTCCTAACACAATTTTACCCATACAGCCATGCCCATAGAGCATTACGATGTTGGTGAAAAATTATTTGAATTATTTTATTTAATTTGTGTCAATTTCCATACTAAATAAAAAGAACTAGATAATTTTTCATCTAAATTGCTTTCATGAAATTAGCTTAATAAATATTAAACTTTTAATCTTCCTGTTATTCTTTAAAAAATTGTCTTCCGCTGTGAAAGTGAGAAATTTTTCAATACCATAAAATAAATTTTATGTCCAAAAAAAAATTATAAAATCTTAAATACAAGGAAATTAATGATAAAGTCATAATAGCTGCTCTAAAAGCACTGAAAACTCTCTTTAAGTTGTTAGTACACTTTTGCAAAGCTTTTTTTCACATATTCTCATAAATTTTAATCCAACGAGCTGGTATGGTGTTTCCATAATTTTTATAATAGATAAAACTGCAGGCAAAAAAAAAACATTAGTTAAAGAGTTTCACTTTTTAAATTTTTGTTTAGTTTAAATTGTTCATGTTCATCAAAAATCAAATATTAATAATTCTTTCTGTTGAAAAGAATTTTATGTTGCTATTTAAAAATAGCATCTAAAAATATATAAATCCCGGCAATTTTTTAATGCTTTTTCTTTGGGCAATATGTATATATTTATTATTTTTTTATGATTCTTAGAAAATATGCTGCGGTAATAATTTAATTTATTTTTATTTTTGTTTTTATTTCAATAAAAAAGTTTGTTTGGTCTACTTGACTGTTTTTATTACTTGCTTCACATCTAAAAAAAAAGTGATCTCAATTTTCTTATCCTCTAATATTATAATAAAACTTTTTTTATTAAATAACTTTTTTCTTTTTTGTTCAAAGGATTTAGTGTTTCGTACTTTACAATCAAAAAAGCTTATTGCCTAACCAAGCTTATTTGAAGCCTTCTCTTTCGTTTGTTTCACGCATCCTATCCTTATTTTTTCAAATTTTAGAAATTTCAATTATTTGAAAACTTTGCAGACTAATAACTTTAAGCTTATTAAGCTCCTTCTCTATATATTTTATGATTTATTTATCTTTATGTGTGTTTGCACAGCAAAACCAAAATCCTCTGAGTTAAAGTAGCAAAAAGGCAAGCTAAATAGAATCAGAGCAAAGCCTATAAAACTTAGTTGTATTCATAAAAGCCGCCACTTGAACTTGCGGTGCAAAGGGCGTCAAAGTAAAACGCGTTTTCGCGGAATTTACTTTAATGCGCGCCAAGTGCAGACAGTGATTAGTGACAGCTGATGCCAGTGCTGGTGATGTGGTGCTAGACGTGGTTGGAAAAAAAATGCAAGCGTACACGGTGTTCGTTGGCGCGTTTTAATTTTTACCGGTGTTTTTTTTAGGCTAGTAAAGCAGAAAGTTTTATTAAATTTATTCTATAAGTGAGTAAAAAATTTAATTTAGAAAAAACTCATTCAAACTCACTTATATAACAAAAAATAGATGTACTAATTCCATACGCTCAAACAAATACATACGCAGTACTTGACGGACGCTGGTGCGTATACTTAATATTATTGAGTTACAGCTTCCTTCCGGTTGAATGACCATATAAAACGTTGCAATGTTGTTGCCCTCGTTGCATATACTTGTACTATAGAATTATACACTTTAAGAATGCGTATATATGTATGTGTGCTCGACATACTGCGAGAAAGTGAGTGAAGAAAATAAGCGAAAAAGCGTAGGAAAGCAGATAGAGTGCAAAAGGCAGCAAGCAGCAAGCAACCTAGAAAATACGTCGGAAAAGCAAACACACACACACACACGCAAACACATCTAGCTACATAGAATGATGGTCTACATACTTTTCAGTATATATATCCAACAAAATCGAGCAAACGAGTGCAACTAGCAAACGGATTCTGTGTATGCAACGCTCTTTACAAATCGAGATACATACCAGCCAGCTAGCTTTCCAGCCAGTGAGGCAGCCACCAATTGAAAACTGAAAGAAAAGTGAAAATTCTGTTGTAGGAGAATTTTGTGCGAATGTAAAACAGGTCGAGAGAAAAAATAACAAAAACAAAGAGCATATATTGGTAAAATTGTCATTATAAATCTAACGCCACAGACACTTTGCAAACGAAAATTCCGGCAAAAAAAAACGTAGCCAAGTAAAGAAAGGTATGGAGTAGTGAGACAGTTAGAGCAGCAGCAAAAGCGGCAGACGACAGCAGATTTTACGCTCAAAGTGCTATAAATTAACGTACGACGACCTTTACAGAAGTTCAGACACAACCAAAAACAAAGGCCAGTGCAAACGCCCGCGCAAAGTAAGCAAACGGGTGGTGAGACGGCAGTGAAGTAAAGAGAAGTTTTAGAGATACATTCACCTTGCAAGTAGTGCAGATGCCGTCGTTGTAGACGTCGCCGCCGTTTGTTGACACTCTTACTAAAGATAAATCAATAAGTACACAAGTACAAGTGCAACTGACACATAAGCACACCCGCACATTGTGCAAACACATACACACATTCGATAGTACTTAGTTAGTACATATAAATAGATTCACACATGCACTCAGAATGCTACTAAAGTGTTAAATATAAAAGTGTTTGCAGCATTTGAATTGCTTTTAAAATAGACGTCCAGGCGCGCGCCCTGCCAGCAGGCCAAAGGCTAACCCGTCAACCAGCCCGTCAGCCAATCGGTGGCTTTTATCTCCGCACCAGCTACAACAACTATCATCGGCAACGGCGGCCGCCGCCAGCCACTGTGTGCGCTTAGTCACCGCTAGCAGCCAACCATAATCCGCAAACACTCCTCATCTCCAGCAGTGCAGCGCAGCACAGCACAGCTCTCGAGTAGCAGTTTTTTTTTCGCAAACCGGCAAAATTCATTCACAAATTATGCTGGCCATGTCAACACTGATGATGCCTGCACCCACCATAGCGATGGGGGCGCCGCAGATCACTATGGCTCCACATAAGCCACCGGAAACAAAATTGCTCGCCATACATCCGGCAGCTGTTGCTGCAAATGGCGGTGGCGGCGGCAGCGGTGGCCAGCCAACGCATCTGCAACACAACGGTCAACATCCGCAGTCACAGCAGCAGCCGCCGCCAAATCAGCAGCAACAGCAATCCCAACAGACGCAACAGCAGCAAATCTCAGCCGGTAGCAACAAACCAGGTGAGTGAACGATTGAATGGTTTGTATAAAAATTGTTTGAGTGTGTAGACCGCTGGTTGCTTTAGCTCCTCCATTGCCGGCGTATGCAAACCAAAATTAAATTTTTTTTATCTCTGTCTTTGTTTTGAAAATATGTGGGTCTACATTTGAAGCAGCTGATGCCAATGGCGATGTCAGTGGCGGTGGCGAGAAAATCTTCCCCACAGCCATCGGCAGCAGTGTCTTTTCTATTTCTCGTCGTCGTCGAAAGTTTATTGGTGTCTTTGCTGTTGACTTGTTTTAGCTCACACTTGCATAGCCAGTAGACTCAAAGCTGAGTAGACTTTATGTTGTGTAAAAGGTTGCCAACATTTTCTAAGAAATTCATAGTACTTTTTCAAAATATCTGAAAAAATATAGTACACTTCAAATAAATATATTTTTATATTTAAATGAAAAAATTAAAATGCTCTTTAAGTGTATATCTTAGTTCCTTCTTATGCATTTCGTTTTTATATTTCTTTGAACGTATCATATGCTTTAAGGCAATCAATAAATTAATATAAATCAAAAGTTCATTTTAGTTAGTGAGGTAGTCGCTTTGTTTCTCTTATCTCGCCATTTGACATTTATAATAAAAAAAAAACTCTTTATGTGAATGCCCAAGTTGCAGGCGTAGAGAGCAGGAACGAAATAATTTTAAGTAAATTTGGTAATTAATTCTAAGTATTTTTAAAATTGTTGCAATTTTGGATCTGTGGTTCTGTTAATAAACTCAGTATGACCTTTTATTTTAGAGAACATTTCTTTCAATATTTTTACTACAGGCTAAAGCTCTCCATTTTAGTACCCATGTTTTCTTGCAAATTACTGGAATATATTAATATTTATAATTAAAGAAATATAGTATTTTTGCATACTATATTTTTTCCAACAACATATAGTACGCAGTCCGAAAAAATAGTACAATACTATATAAAATATATAGTACGGTTGGCAACCCTAGTTCTGTAGCGCAATATACGCGTCGGTCAAAATCTATTGCAGAAGTACTATTTAGGGTTTGTTATGCAAGATTCTCTTTACTTTTGATTTTGCCTTGAAGGTTATTGTCTGCAGCTGCTAGCATTTTTGTATTTTAACTCAAATGGGTCTGCATTCACTTGTGCACATAAATACATACATATATACTTGTACATATATGTATGTATATGCCTTTGTCTGCTTTTTATTGTAAAATTATTTCAGCAGACTTCTAAGGCCATTGCTGCATTATAGACTTTTCTATTCATTTATGTCTACACACATATATGCACTTGCTGATGCCAATTTTGCATTTGCTGCAATAAATTTAATAAATTATTTCTTTCTATGGCATAATGTGTCAAGTTATCGAGATAAGCTATGATAAATGCATGCGGAGTGCGGATTTCGTTAAGGAAATATGTGCACTAAATTTGGTTGCATTTCATTAGTTCCAAAAATATGGGTCTCAGCCATGAGTCTCCGGAAGTTACAAAAATTTTAAGACTTCATCATTGTACCATTATTCAAAGGCCCTTTTACCTTTATTACAAAGCAGGGAACGCTTAGTATATATTGCGTTAACGTATAATTTTTGCAACGCTTAGAGTTTTGTGAATGTGTAGACTCACGGCACACAATGGGATCAGAGTGCCCAAAAATAATAAATACTAATTAGCTAATTCTAGAAAAGTAATTATGCAGATTTATTGAAAATATCCAACTAAGAAAAATTTGATTTTTTTTATAGAAATCTATACTTGCAATCACGGAACTAGTTTAAAAGGGAAGAAATGCAAAAAATTAATTAGTTGGATTTTATTTTATTCTATTGATTTCTAAACTGATGTTTCTGATTGCTAAACAGTTTTCTAACATATCTGTGGTCAAGCAGTGCTTTATGTTTAATCCATTACCACTAAACCTTAACTACAGTTTATGCCTATTCGAAAAAGGGAATTACATTTCGAAGGGGGTTGCTCATAATAAGTAAACGAAGGTAATAAGTAACGAAGGTTAAAAAGCAAAAAGTAAGAAATAAACCTTTGGAAATGGACTATTACACTTTTATACACCTTCAGAAATTCATAAGACAGTTTCACTTTAAAGTCGGTATAATGTAGTGCAAAAAATTTTGTGAAGGGTTAACTTTAGAAAACAATATTCAAGAAGATCCAAAGAAGGGCGCGAAAATGGTCTCAGTCCGTGGCATGTCCGATGAAAAGATATATATAAGGTAAATAAAGAAAGGTGTAGATATTTATAGCTCTGTTATTCTGTTGCAGTATTTATCCTTTTTTTTTTAGATGAGATCCGTTTTTGACTGCAAATTTCCTGCTTGCCTTAGTTCAGCTTTTGTTTCCTAAATCATATAGTGGTTGGAACACCGGTATTGAAAATGCTTGTGTTTTATAATTTTTAACAGCAAGAGTTACAAATTTTTTTGCCAGGGCTTCGGAGCAAAGGGTTTCTTTAAGCGCTCCGCTCTGGCTGCGCTCCAATATTTTATATCGCTTCAAGCTCATAGCTCCGTCCCGCTCCCCATAAAAAACTTTTTTAACTGACTTCAAAAAAACTGAGGACGTTATCAATTCGATAGAATAGTGTTTTTTTATGTATGTTAGGTACTATCGTTTTTTTATTGGATAGGGTTTAATATATAAATGTACATATCGTTCATGAAATNCAATGTTTAATTCATTCAAGGAGATGTCGTGGGTCCAGGGTCTCTTTAATTTTATTCAAAGAAAGCGACAGATATCTGACAGTTATATAAATATTAATATACTATCCCTTTCCTTTTTCTTGTTTAGTTCATAACTGTACGTAACTGCTAACTGGCTTTGATATGGATATGGGTGTGGAAATGAAACTTTTCCTTATGTGTTCTTTAACACCTTTCTCTCCCCTATTTAGTTATAGGTTTGCCAAATAATTCATTGAATGTCATCATGTATGTGCAATAGACTGCGCCTTATTTTGCAACATTGTCCTACAAGCAAGACTTACCCCAGGAAGGTTCATTTGGTCATAAAAACGTGACCTGCGAACAATTTTTAAAATCGGATAACGGAAAGATTTACCTCAAAGGCCCTAAAGTTCAGCAAATTCATGGAATTTTTCACGAAGCGGTCAATATTTTGCCCTATAAGTCAGTGGGAAGTTTAATATATTTTAAAGGCACTTAATGGAGTTTTCTCCCCCGATGTCAAATATAGTTTTAGTATCTTTTAAAGTTATTGGGGTTTTTTTGGGAAACAGCCGTGAGGCATCTTAAAAAATTCAACACGATCTCAAATATGGCATCTAAACTAACCGTAAATTAGATTTTGCTTTACAAATTTTGTACTCCCAAAGAGCCCAACAGTAAAAGAGAAAAGTTCCCTACAACTTTGGCAAATTTGCATACAACCGTTTTTTACGAAAAATGCAAAAGAAGCTTGCAAATCGCACACTCAAAAAAAAACCTAAAATCCAAGATAGCGGAATATTCCGGTATGAAATTTAGGGGCAAGACTGTGGATCCATGATCTACGTGTCAAATAGAAGTAAACTGTATCAAAAGGTCGCTACTACAAATTTTATTCTTCGTACCAATTTGATATAAAGTTACTTGGCTAAAATTTAACTTCTGAATTCTAGGAAAATTGTTATTTTATGTGGAAAAACCTCAATAAGTTCAAAAGTTGTGGAGGTTGAAAAAAAGGTTAGCCATATTTGATATTAAAATTAAAATACATATATTAAATTTCCCACTGACTTGTAGGCAATTTTGACCACTTTGTGAAAAATTCAATGAAAATGTTGAACTTAGGGCCCTTCGAGGCACGTCTTTTCGTTGTACGATTTTTTGAGGTTTGCTAAAATGTATACACAATTAAATACAATATGCTGAATACTGTAAATAAAAAAATTATATTCTTGGTTGGTACGTATAGCTTTACGCTCTTCTATATTCTGTGTAAAACTCAACCAGTTCAACACTAAATCGCCTGCATTATTCGCCATGGCCAACGCGCAAGGACCCGAAATTCTTGCGTCGAATCCTTCTCTCGAAAACTCCAAGAGCCGTCTCATCAAATGTTTTCATTGCCCATGTCTCTGAGCCTTACACCAGCACAGGCATGAAAGGTGGCTTATAGAGTGTGATTTGTATACGAAGACAGAGGCCCTTTACTTCTCAATTGCATACCTAGTCCAAAGAAGAAGTTGCTGGCAAGAGTGGTTCTCTGTTGGATTTTGAGTCGACATTATTTTTGGTGGTAATGCTGCTTCCGAAACATATGAAGTCGTCTACTTTTTCAAACCTAAAACTGTCAACAGTTACGTGGGTGCCAAGACGATTATGCTCGATAGTATGTGTAATGACAGGAGATACTTCATTTTGTCCTCGCTTACAAACAGACCCGTTCGCTTTGCTTCTCTATCTACTTCCAAGAAGGCAGAACAGACGTAGAAGAAGACGTCCATTCGAATTCTGACAGAGCTGATGGTATTGCTTAATGTCGTTTTGAACCGTCGTATGATTTTCGCGGGGAAAACAAATTCAGACATCGCGCCATAAATAATCATCTTTTTTGCTGTCAAGGGCGGCTTTGAAATCGACAAGCAGACGGTGTGCGTCGGTTTTATGTTCGCTAGTCTTTCCTAAGATTTAGCTTATATTGTGAATACCTGGTCTATGGCGGGGTCGCGCTTCCCTCTTCATTTTGAAACAATGGTCCCACATAGCCTTTCGGGCTCGATAAAATCTAACAACTGCTTCGGCGGCGATACTCAATGAGCTGAAAATGTGGTGACACTGCTCGCGTATGCCGGTTTCTTAGTTCTTTCTGAGAGCAGGTGTGAAAGTCGAGCGGCGAGTTAAGTTACAATTTCCTTGCATTGTTTGGCGCACATTTTTTGCAGCACAGGACCGGCGTCAGTGTTTGGCTTTCGGAGTGTACGTATGTCTAAAACAATGGAAGCATACTCTCCACCTATCACAACATGATCGA